TAAGAAAATATGTCTGTTTTGATACATATACATTTGTGTATCATTTAGTTTGTATTGTATCCACATTCAGGGCTGTGATTAACTGCCATAACTCGTAACACCTGTTATGGCTGAGTATGCTTGAATGACCTCTGATCCTACAGGTGAATTTTCCTTGTGTTCATTGATACAATTCACCCTCTAGGTAAAGGTTAAGGGGAGCTTTTCAAGAGAACTTTCTCGTTCTTCAAGTTTTGCAGAACTGGAACATCCACCAAGGGTCACACAAACACATACTGGGATCAGGGACAGCGGAACCTATTTTCAAGTGAGGGAAGGGGGGCTTGAAAACCAGCACTGGAGGCGCGACTTTGTAGAGGGGTCTGGGGGCATCATCCCCCAGAAAATTTTTAAATCTAGAGGCTCAGAAATGGTATTTTTAACATTCTCCATGATGGTGTACTTCTTTTAAAAAATCAACCTGGATAAAGTATAAAATGACGGGTACTTTTAGTGCTTTTACAGCAATATTTTGGAGTTTTTGTAAACTTGATACATATTTCTCAGCTCCCAATGACACATCACGACCTTAGTACACTAACCTGTACTTTTACACAAGCTTCACATGCGTGGGAAGGAAGTGCATGGTGCAGAAATGTTAAAAAATGTGGAAACATGAAAAGTTTCCACCAGGTTTGGTACGAGGTTGTAGCTTTGTAAATTCTCATCACTAAATAAAGCGAGTACCATTCAAATGCTACGTAGTTTCATCTAACTAGTGAATCCTTCTATAAATGTATTTTACTTCCTTTTTCAAATAACTAGAGAACACGAACTGAATTAATGTTAACAGAAGTAGTTTACTATTCAGTCAATTTAATTTTATGAGATACAATCACTTACTTAAAAGTGACTCTGGAATGACAACAACAACTGTCAATAACAGCAGCTAAATTTCATAAAAACTCTACAATGGCATTTTACGAAGTCCATCATCTTGCAAGCTTTGCTCCATATTTCAATATTAGGAGTCAGCAGTCCAATGTAGCAACAGCACTCACTTGCATATATATCTCAACACAATAGTTAATGGAAATCGGCCACTGTGAATTTCCCAAAATTTATATTGCGATTGTCATTGAGCAATACAAAAGCATCGGCAACCGATACCAGGCAAATACCATCCAGTCTTGTCTTGTGTGTGTTTAGGATGGACAAAAGAGTAAAATGTGCTTGGTGCATTTGAGAGCAAAGCCAGGTTTTGACTCAACTAGCAGTTGAAAACGAACACTTTTGTGTTGAACTGGTGGCAGGATTGATGGGTACTAGCTCACAGATTCTTGCTACTTGGTTAATTAAATCTCGTCCGTGAACATTCAAAGATTTCACTTCATTTAAGATGTTTTCAAAGCACTCTACCTCAAATGTACTTAGCTGAAAACCCAGTGTTGTTGGACATACATCTACATCACCACTGAAATGTGTTAATAAGTCATTTATTTCCTTTGCAACATCTTCCCCTTTTGTTGCCTTGATAAGAAAACTTTCCAAATTCTGGTTAACAAGAAATGTTGGCTGGTTGAAATGCAACCTACTGTTTCAAAGTATAGTCCTCAGTAGTAGATTGTAGTAGTCACAAGTTGTGGTCGGATATTCTGGCTCACTAGTGCCTACTTCATAATGTGATGGGGCATGTCGTTTTCTTGGGTGCATTGGCTCAGAAACTGAGGGATGCTCTTTCACTTTTGCAGGGATGACAACGTAAAATGAATTAAATGATTCATCGTTTCTAAACCTGTTGACGGTTAGACGAGCAAGGTCCTGCCTTGCGGTAACTGAAATATGCTTGGATTGCAGAGACTTCAAAAGATTATCAGTGGGCGCAAAAAGACATTGGTTTAAATGAAGACCAAAGAAACTCATTTTGGGGGATAATCTGTAGTGAACCAGACTTTTTTTTTTTTTTCATTTTCTTTTCCTGCTTCCTTATTTTTTCATACGTACCTTATACTAAAACAAAATAAAATGTCATCGTCGTAAAAAAGTGGAAGGGAGGCTAAAGCCCGCCCAAGCCGCTGGCTCCACCGTCCCTGGGTATGTATACAAGTTAAAACTCTACATTAACATTCTGCTATTAAAACCTTCTATTTGAATGATCACACACTTGGGTTTATTCCAGACATAGACGCTATATAACTACATCAGTTTCAATGACTCTGGAAAACACAGCCTAAGTAGGTGGGATTAGCGTTAAAATAATAGTCAAATTACATACCTTCCTTGCTTTCTGTTCAGGTTTGTGTTGTGTAGAATAGACCATGTGTGCTCTTCCAACTCCTGCAGAAAAATAACAGCAGCAGTTCACAAGTGAACCTTTCATATACTGATCCAGATTGGCCTTCAATTTCCCCTTACAAAGTCAAAACATTGTCAAGAACTCAGGTATTGAGAATAAAGAAAATCATCACAAACAAGTAGAAACAAATAAATGTACCAACTTAACAAATTTTCAATTCAACATCACTCACGTGTAAGTCGCAATAAAAGAAATGCAAAGCAATTGGCGAAAGAAAGCAAATTGGTTATTAAATGTAGGATGGCATCAACTTTCATTAACTTAAAATATTATTGTTGTACAAATTAAAGAACAGTTCATTTGGTCCAGGAGGAAGCTGATCTCTGTGTTCTTAATACAATAGTATGCTACATTTCATTTTAATCAAAATGAGCACAAGACAAATGATTTCTAAATTTATGTATAAGTCATACTTAAAAAAAGCAAAAGCTAATGATAAAAACTAACGTTTCAGTGTCTTCATGATGCCATTGTCAAGGTAATGAAAAATAACGAATACAAATTCTGCAC